AGGCAGAGACAACCTGATAGACTTCAGAGCTGTCCAGGCCAACCAAAATTCATTTCTGTAGACAGAGATTGTCTAGGAAGGCTCAAATTTCACTTGTTTCATTTATGACTACTAAGAGTAAAGTAAAGTAGGTAAAGTTGAATTCAATCATGAAAACAATATTATATTGTTAAGATCTCTTCTCTATTGCTTGATGATGTCTAAAAGCTTGGGATGCATTTTGATAATTATATTCCACATCTGAGTATTCACGGACTACATCTATCTATTATACAACTATGTTTCTCTCTAATTATAACTCGCGACATCAAGTATTCTTCAGGGTGCAAACTCCCAGAGACACTGAAAATCACCACACCCTTTTTGGTAATTACATTATAGCTAACAGGGAATCATGCTATTTCCAATAGTAATTATCCCCTTGTCAGAGTCTTTAGATCTATGGCCTAGTTCTCAAATCAAACTGAGTTGGCCCCAATTGTCTCCATCATTGATGAAATGATCAGCTTCATCTGCAGGTTGTATATGCGAAGGTAGTTGTACTCGTAACCTTTCTACTCATCTAACTTCAAACTTTCATAACTTCCTACCTAACTAACAGATATCTTCTGGAGAACTTCCTACTAATTCAAAGAAAGCTGTTCCACCAAATTGACAGATAATTCCTTGGTCGGCAATCCTTAGTTGCTCTGCACAACAGGGTTCCAATCGCTGCTCTAGTAGTGGGAGCTATCACTTCAGCTACAATATGTTCCGAACTCTAGTTGTAACACTCCGTGAAGTTAATTGGCTTTTCTAGTAGTATTCTATGGAGTTCTATACTTTTCTGATTATTGTAGGGTGGGTGTGAATGTATTGGTTTGTCGTTGAGATCCTTTATTATTTGATATTATCTCTTTGTACAAAAACAGCCAGTTACTTATAACTTATATCAAAGATGTCACATCTTTGAAGCCGAGTAACCTCTTGCATAGTTGGCAGATTTATCCCATTCTACTTCCAAGACCTAGCCGAAGGTCCCCTCTCATATATCCTGTGAACAGGATCTAGTCAGACAGACAGTGGCGACATATACAGTATTACTCTTGTACCTTCAATTTTGTGGCATTATAGTCACAAGATGCACCTGAGATTGATATGTATTGTGATGTGCGGGCCCCATAAGAGGACAGAAGAGGGGTGTTGGAGACTAGTGATTCTGATTCTGAGTGAGGTTACCCTACTTAGGGTGATCCCTTGGTATTGGCTCCAGTATTCTTAACAGAATTTAACCCTAGATATTGAGTTAACTGAATCCTGAATTATTGCAGGACAGAGGTGAGCTGCATGTATTTGTTGGTCTCTTTCTACCGAGCCGATCAGGAGCCTGCACTGGCAGGGATATGGAGTGGAAGGAGCTGAGGGTGCTATCTTCCCCATTTTGCAAGCATGTTCTGCCTTCTTTTTCTTAGTGGAGATGAGGCGAAACCTGTTTATGTCAATACCAGTTATCAATATGGCCACCCAGGTTTGTTTAGGGTTCGATAGACATGTCTCAGAGAAGGAGGGTCTGAGCTGAAGGAGCTGCTGATTTCCATTGAGGTGGTCTTAAGTGTGGAAGCCCTTCAGGATCTTTGTAAAATCTATTTGGTAGGAGGGGGGGGGCTGTATAGAGGTTGAGCTTGTCAGGAGGATAGGGGGTAGGGCTGATTGTCGAGTAGTGGGCTGTCTTGTGGTAGTGCAGAGGGGAGGGGGGTTCATTGCATTTTCTTAATTTCAGAGGTAAGCCTTGCTTCTATTTGTCGCAGTTGCTACAGGAATAATTTGCGTATTGCCAGGAACATTCCGGCCATAGAGGCCTGGTGGCTAGAAAGGCATGCAGTTCTTCCTTGTTGTCTTCTTTTGTTCACACTTCCTGCTCTTAGAACCATCTCTCCTGTCATATATCTGATACCCTAGTAGATGGCCCAGAAAAGGTAAAGGAGGTGTTTTCTGGGTTAGTTGTGGCATTTCTGGAGTCTGTGCTGGGTATTATCCTAATGTCGGTCACAACCTAGGAAGAGAAGCATGCTTGTTTAGGGAGTTCCAGGGAGGTGGAGGCATGCTGGCTGTCTCCAAGACTAGTGCCATTCGTGTTTTTACCATTTTCCAGGTTCATAGCTAAATCTTGTGTGAGCTGAGTGTCTGACACACCCATGTCCCGGGATTGACTCAGGTGCACTATTGAGTTTAGTTTAAGGGGGGAGGACTGGGGTATGAAGTGAATCTGAGAGACCAGAATAAATCTCTATTAGAACGGGAGGAAGGAGAAGGCCATAGCAGCCAGTTATGCTAGGGCCTCTAGGTCAGCTGTATCGATTACCTTATCTCTATTAGGAGTACCAGGATCCGATACCTAGGAACCAACCTAAGTAGGGTAACCCTACTTGGAATCAGAATCTCTTGTCTTCAACACCCCCCTCTGACCTTCTTATGGTGCCCGCATGTCATTATACATATTTATCTCAAGTTACATAGCTCAATTGTAATATCACTTGACTTCTCACCGATGGTCACATGTTCAACTCTTGTTGTCATCAAAGTTATTTCTGGTAGTAAGTTATTTTCTACTAATATCACTTGTAACTGCAAGGCTCCTTACATGACAACCTCTGACCTTCGACCAAAGGTTTAAGACTCTATTCTATAGAAGTGCTTCTCCTCTACACGAGGAAAGTCACAGGATAGCAATCTGTCTGCTAAATCAGCAGAGATTGAGCTTTGAAGTCGGTAACTGAAAAAGGTTGCATATGTGACTTCGCAGAGTTGCTGACTAAGGAATTATCAGCCAATCCAGTAGAATAGCTTCCTGCAAATTAGTTGGAAGTTATCTAGAAGATATCTGTTGGTTGTATCCGGAGGTAGTGAGGTTAAAAGTCAGATGATTTTGGAAGGTTCAAATTGCGACTACCTCTGCAGATATAACTCACAGATGAAACTGATCATTTCATTGATAATAGAGACAATTAGGGCCAACTCAGTTTGATATGAGAACTAAGTTATCTGTCTAAAGTCTCTGAAGATCAGATAATTACTATTAGGAAAAGTAGAGTCCCTAATTAGCAAACTAGTAATTGCCGAAGAGAGTGTGGCGGTTTTCAGGGTCTTCAGGTGTTTGCACCTTTAAAGAATACCTGACCTAGCGAGTTATAACTAGAAAGATACATAATTTGTATAATAGATAGAGGTAGTCTGCAAATACTCAGACATGGAATATAAATATCAAAGTTCCTTCCATGCTTTTGGACATTATCAAGCAACAGAGAAGTGACCTTAATAATATAATCTTGTTTGTATAATTTTATTCTACTTTAGCTACTTCACCTTACTTGTAATAATTATAAACTAAACGAGTATACTTTGAGCCTTGCTAGATAATCTCCATCTATAGAAGCGAATCTTGATTGGCCTAAACAACTCTAAGTCTATACAGGTTGTCTCCGTCTAAATATCTCTCAAGACTTTAGTGAGAGTGGAGTAGAAGCAAGGAAGCTACAGTTGGGAGTTCTGAATAGGGTTGCTAATTGGGAGTGCCACGCTCTTGGAGAGGTTCACGAAACAGGAGTTGAGACACTCCAGTTCACTGCAGATAGTAGGAAATGTGCTTTCCTGGGAGACGATTCTATTTCCTTTGTTGATCAGGGAGTTGGAGCAGCTGGGGCTATGTTTGATGAAAGAAAACATCAGCAGGGTGGAGTTGAGGGACACCCCTTGGGGTGAACCAGGAGGAAGAAGCAAGGGGGAGTTGACACTGGGGCTTTTGGTTGAGCTCCTGGGGCCTCCTAATGGAGAGGGAGAAGTGGGTACATAAGAGGGCAAGGGGGAGGAAAACATGGTGGCAGAGTAGGATGGTCTTATGACTAGTGTCCTAAACTATAGAGAGGATGAAGCTTTAGGATTGGGGGCTGTGATTGGCCACACCACCTAAAGGGGAGGTATCGTGAGAGAGGTGGTGGAGGTGAGTCTCCAGCACAATGGAGTGAAAACTCTTATTGTACTGAAGGAGAGGCTGTGTTGGCAGTGCCAAGAGGAGAAAAACTAGTATGAGTGCAGTGTGCTCAGCTGAGAAAGTGCAGAAAAACACAGACTATACCTTATGTGCAGTTTGCGTGGTCAGGAAAGTACCGGTACTCGGGTGTGTCCATAAATGCCCTTGTCTCCCTAAAGTAGAGATTTGTACTAGTACTCGAGTACCGGTATGTAGGGATCAGCAGAAATGGCGGTATGGCATATCATAGTTTTCCGATTTTTGCTGGCACACCCGAGGACGTACTGTACCCGAATACTCGAGCACTCGAGTAGGGCTTCTCATTAGATAAATTACCGGTATCACTGAGTGGTGCTTTTATGATAATAATTATTATCGTATCATACATTTTCGCCATGCCCAAGCGATAAGGGTCGTGGGATAGGCCATAGGGTTCAGGGAAAGGGACGATTGAAAAAGGCCAGACACCACCCGATTCTCTGCCCAGCCCTTCTAATGGTACGTCTTGTACGAGTACCGGTACGAGTAGACTATCATGCTTAGCACAATGTACTCGTAAGGTACGGCACCCTCGGGCTGGTGGTATCCGCGGTGCGACTCCCGACACGTATGATATGAAGAGGTTCAGCTTCCCTGCCGACTTTATCAGTCTTGCTCTGAGGCTCTGTATGCACGCCAATCCGCACATGGGAAAGACCAACAAATAGCTGATTGGCTGGGGTGTGCATGCATTCCTCTCAGGTCATACAGGAGGTACTGTATTGAGTGCCGCACAAGGTTATCAGACCGTAAACATCTGTTCAGCCTTGCTACCCAATCTTCCCTTCCAACCAATGACGTGCCGGGGGGTGGAGCTCTGTGGAATCAGCCGCAAGGCAGCTTGTTGGGTGCCTGGCCTTTTACTTTTTTTTGCCTACTCGAGTACATAATCCCCCTCCCCCCAGCTTTACATGCTTTTCCTTGATTTTTCTTCTCTTCTCTTCCCCCCCTCCCTCCCCCTTTGTTTCACGGTAAAGTCCTCAACATCCGACCGCTGAAAGGCATCGTTGTCAAACGAACAAACGTACAGACAAACAAACCCTGTCCCAACCCTCTAGCGGAAGCAATCATACTATAGGCGGTATTAGTGATGGGAGTGCGTATTTCCGCCACTGCAAAATTTAGGGGGAACGGTTGGGAAGACTAATTTGTTTTTACAGCGCAGTCAACGACGCTCCAGACAGCAGGGCAGTGGTGAGGGCGCTTTACGCCGGAAGCTAGTAATTGTTGGCGATGGTGCTTGCGGAAAGACTTGTCTTTTGATGCGCTTCAGCAAAAACACCTTTGACCCAGACGGGTACATCCCGACCGTGTTCGACAATTATGTGGCCGATGTACACCTACCCGACGGGCGAAACGTCGAATTGGCACTGTGGGATACGGCCGGCCAAGAGGACTACGATCGTCTCCGCCCATTGTCTTATCCGGACTCCCATGTGATCTTGATATGCATTAGTATTGATTCACCCGACTCCTTGCAGAACGTCTACGAGAAGTGGATTCAGGAGGTCAGACACTTTTGCCCAGGGCTGCCAGTTGTGCTGGTGGGGTGCAAGAAGGATCTACGGAACGACGAGAGAACAAAGAGACGGCTGTGGGGGGAGGAAGGTGGAAAGATGCCATTGACCGAGGAGGATGGGAGGAATGCGGTAAAGCAATTGGGGCTGACGGCCTATATCGAATGTTCGGCGAAGACCAATGATAACGTAAAGACGGTGTTTGAGGAGGCTACTAGGGTCGCTTTGAACAGTCCTAAGCGGACCTCCAAAGGAGGGTGCACGATATTGTGATTGTGTGTGATTTTCTGAATATTGTTGTTGGCTTGATCTCTCTCTTTTTTTTTTGGGAGGGGGGTTTTCTCAGGAAGCATGTGAGGGGGACCGCGCAGAGGAGGTTGTGTTCTTTACCGGTTGGTTGGTTGGTTGGCAAGTCAAGATATGTTGACTGAAAGTAGTTTTACCCATCATGGTTTTTTTTTTTTTTTTTTTTTGATGGTCATTGTTTGTTTACGCTGTAACTAGTATGGTACAAGTATAATTGACATGGTAGGTATCAACTTGTTGTCATGAGCTCAAATCAGAGTAAAGTCCCCCCCTCTGGCTACGGCATCTATCGAGTCATTGTCTTTATCCCGATCGCTTTCGCGAAAGCACAATAAACACGTCGCCAAACCCTTACCCCCGGACCACTCGAGTACAGCACTCGCAGGGACACAATCGCCTTGCATATAACCGGGGGGTGGGTCCTGTAAGTCCCATCCCTTGAGCAATCTATTGAATTCCCCGAACTCATTATATCATCTTGATAGACAGGAAACGGGTCGATCGAGTCAACCAATTCCAATTCCGGTCCTGTCAGAAAGCTCTTTTGGAATTCCTCTCGCTGGAGAAAAGGGGTTGTTGACTCACGGAAAGAGGGGGAGAGTGTGTGTATGAACACGAGACACCATACCAGGACGCTCCCGCACGATTGAGAAAACTCCGGGGGCCTTCTTGATTGATTGAGTAACTGGCGTTTTCTTTCCCTTGGTTGGGGACACTTTCTTTTCTTCTTTCCCTTGTATTTTGACCCGGGTTTTGGAGCATCAAGGCAACAAAGGAAAAAAACGAACAATAAAAGAAAAAAAAGAATGAAAGATAAGACCAAAGGGGGAAAAAAAGATAAAAAAATAAAATAAGATGATTATTATGCAAAATGACCGTTTGTTTGATTTTTTCGAGTCAAGTGCGTGGGCTTCTGGCGAATTCATTTGTTTAGATTCCCTTTGTTTTCTGATTAGAAATAAGATGTTTATTTTTTATTTTATTTTTCATTTCTATTTTGTGGGATTCCTTGCTTTGTCCTTTTCTTTGTGATACGGAGACCGCGGATCATGAGAACTCACTCGATAGATTGTTTGGTCCGGAATTTGGTGGAGACAATTGATGGCATGGGGTGGATTGGATGGATTGGGAAGTTGGGTTTTGAGTCTCTTTGTTAGAAAGGCCAATAACCTGCGGACGGTATACAACAAAGCCGCTCACAAGGATATTATTTCGACCTGCCCACCCACCGGTGTGAACTTTCCATCATGCGAATCGGTTCGATTGGACTTTCCTCCCCCAATCTCTCCTCTTGTCCAATATCATCAATCACAAAATATACACAATCAACAATCGGATAAGGGGGAAAGAAAGGAACAGGAGAACCTCCAGAAAACGATGTCGGATCAGCGGGTCGGACAACGCGGTGCGAGAATGCGGGCGGCAGCAGCACCGCCGCCGCCAACCAAAGCTCAGCTAGAAACCCTTGTGGAGAGTCTCAAAGCGAAAATGGAGGCTCTGAACGGGGAGAAGGTAGCACTAAGCGTGACGCTTAGTGAACGCGAGGCCCAGCTTAGTGACTTGAGCAACGTCGCGGCCAGATATGAGCGCACTCAAAGAGTCAACCACGGGCTTAACCTAACCATAGAAAAGCTCAATCAGCTCTTTCTTCAGCGCGAAGCCGAGGAGGAAGGTATTGAATTCCCAGACGGGGACAGAGCAAAGTGGTTCAGGGGCATAGTAGGTCTACTTAGGGCAAAGGACCGGCTAGTTAGTTCGGTCGAAGATGTGTTGATCGATGATGCGAAGACCCGTGGGCTGGATGTGAGCATGGATAGGGTCACGGTGATGCTGATGTTGGAAAACGAAGTGGCGACAGGAGGTGGTGAGAAGGACAAGGTCCCGCCAGAAGCGACCACACCCATAACGACGCTAAAGCGAATCCTCGGATCAAGTATCCGCCAGGCGCTCCTCGGTGTGCGCAGTATCGCAAACACACAAAGCGCCAGTGAAGTGGGGTCTGGCCCCCTCGTCCTCCACGCGCCTTCTGGCCGCTTCGACAGTAGCCAACCCTGCGCTAATGAGCGGCGCAGGATCGAAGCGCTGCGGCTCGACGTGGCAGAGCTGAATGGCGAAATCAGGGTCATGAAGGTTGAGCAGAGGGGTGTCGAGGAAGAGAACGTAATCCTGCGGAACTTGTACATCGACTTGCGTGAGGACCAAGACGAGACGTATGCACGGATCCTGGAGTTGACCGGACAGCCGTGGAAGCTGAATCCTCCCGGGGCTCTGCCGGATGATACGCCATTTGTTCGGACTGTGGGGGCAATTGAGCAGATCGGGATAGATAGGGCTGCCGCTGAGGCGGCGAGGAGGGCTCTTGAGGAAGCGTATGCTGCAATGAACGACACTGAGAAGCAGGAATTTGACCAGAGGCAGTTGGCAGAGAACAGGAAAGCGGATGACGTTGCTGCTTTAGCTAGGTCGAGGTGGAGGGTAACCGCAGCGGCCGGAGCAGTAGGACCGGGAGAGACAAGAAGGGTGAAAGGGGTGGGAGGAGTTGAAACAGCGGCGGGAGATATAGGGGGAGAGGGGGCACCGGGAGACGCGGGGTCGCAGGGAGACGCGGATTCGCAGGGGGAAGCGGATTCGCAGGGAGAGGCTTACCAGGCCGGGATTCGGCTTATAGAGGCGCAAGTGCAAATCGTAGAGTTGCGCCAGGAGCTCGAGAACCAGCAACGGGATTGCGAGAATGAGAAGAGAAGGATTGTCGAGGACGTTGACCGCAACAACCGAGATCACGAGGAGGACAAAAACCGGCTGCGCGAGCAGAATCGGAGGGATCATGAGCGGTGCGAAAGAGAAAAACGGGTTCTGCGCGAGAGAATAGCAAGCTTGAGGACACGGATCGATCGCCTAAATATCGCGGCTAGACTATACGAGCAACAGACCGCTGGCTTGGGGCAAGCGACCGCAAGGGCCCCCCACCTCGAAGAGATCCATCTCGAACGTGAGAGGCTCTTGGAGGAGAACACAGGGCTTCGTCGCCTGGTAGAGAGACTAGAACTAAGGGTCAACCTTTTGGAGGGTAATACACCGGCGGAGGATGTAGAGAGATATCAAGCTATGGCGTCCGGTGTCGAGGAAATGCGGGAACTCATGAGCTGTGACGAAGTGCGGGCAGAACTCAACCGGAGTCGAGTTCTTCTGGAAAGGTCACTCTCCACACAACAATCACTCGGACACGCGATGCAGGGCTTGATGAATTATGTCTTGTCAGTCCGCACCCCCGGCGGGGACGCTGCACTTGGACCCCCCGCAGAGGCCTTGCAAGCCGTCAGTAGAATGCACAGTGACTTTCAAGAGAACGAGCGCCAGTGGGCAGGTGCCGAACGTGGAGGCACCACGAATGCCATGCTAAGGAGGAAGCTTCGGAAGACAATTGCTCGGGCAGCCAGTCTAAGAGTCGAAGAGATCGAGGATCTAACGGCCGAGAACGACGCCTTAAGAGCCCAGCTCGCGGAGAACAGCAATATTGTCGATCTCCAAAGGTGGAGGACAGTCAACAAGGAAATCGAGATCATCGAGAGCGAAATGCTTGAAACCGGACCTCACCCCTTGACCCCCCCAAGGGACCTCCTCCGCCTGGCGAGACTTCAAACAGAGAGGCTCCGGATGATGCCATGCCCCGACCTCCGCCAGTTCGCCATCTCCCTGCAAAAAGAAGCGATACCCACCATTTATGATCTTCCGGATGAATACTTCTTTCGTCAGTGGAACGAGCTCTACGATGATGTCCGCGCCTGGTGCACGACGTACTATAGTTGCCAGGTTCGCAGTTTGTGGATAGACTACGATAGACTTGTAGGCGATGTGCAGCTTCTGGGCTTCTACCTCCGTGACGTTCTCATTCATCGGGACTATGTGCCTCTTCTTGTCAATAACCTGACCACGAAATTGCCGGAAGGGCGTGCGGATGTTGCCGCCGCTATTGTTTTCCGGATCCTTGTCGAGGAGATATTCGAGCCTGTGAGGTTCATGATCGGACTCAGGTTTACGGACGCCACCCAGAGGTGGAAGATCAAGAGGCAGTACAAGCTTGCGTTTGAGGTGCGCGATATGAGGGATAATGCTTATCAGCCCCGGTTCCAGGATAAGGAGTCGTTTATAGACAGGAAGAGGAAGCAGACGCAGCAAGGGTACGCATATCCTGGGATTACCGAACGGGGACCACCGCCGAAGAAGAGGGTCAAGAGTTCTTTGCAGAAGTTCAATTTTATAAGAACGTTCGAGGATGATGAACCAGTTGGAACGACAAGGGATAACGATGGTAATTGCCCCCCCAACGTACAAGATTTTTGCTAAATAAAACCCCCAGACGACATCATCATGAACACCTCCCGCGCAAAACTCATGCGCACAATTTTCTCCCTCTCAACCGACCCGACGAACCCCCAATTCAAAGAAATGCGTAGCAACGTCAGCAACGTAATAATTGACACCCTAAACCCTCTCGGACACACGCACATCCCTGAAGTGGCGGCAGTCCCGGAGTTACGCTACGGGGATGGCACGATTATCACGGAGGGCGTCGACGCCGTCCCAGAAGTAAGGGACACAACCTGGCGCGCAAACCCTCGCCTCCACAAGGCCTCGCTCTGGGACATCATAAAGAGGGCGTACGACCTCGCCATAATGATGCGCTGCCAGCGGACAAACATCCACCCCCTAATGCACGATTTGCCGTCAATGATGAGGTTCGATCACAAACACTTTACCATTGTGAATTATCCAGAGCCCACACCTCCCGCCCAAAGGGCCGCCATGGATTCCTGGTTTGCACAGTCGTCGTCCGGGCCGGGCATTGTCGGGTGTGCTCGGAAACCAATATGTGAAGTCTTGCCCGCACTGATCAGAAGGGGGGATCCCGAATTGGGGAATTATTCTTGGAGGGATAGGGTGGTAATTTCGAAGTCGAAGGTTTATGTCGGAGGTTTGTGCTCTTTGAGGTTGCTTTCGTTATGTTAATGTGTGGTTTTTGCTAACTGTGGGGTATAGGCGAGGATGACAGGCAATTATATAATATGGCCCCGCAGAATAATCCGTTATATACTGTCGCGGAGTATCCATTCGCGACTGACCCAAGCCTAGCCACCGCTCCTGAAGGAACAACTATAGGAGGTGGTGGCGGTGGCGGGGGCCGGTAGCAGGGGGAGGTCGCCGTCGTGCAGCGGCACTCGTAGAAGAAGACTGA